GGACATCGGCTGATCACATGGTATTGCAGAGCGATGTCAGAGAGCTTACGTGTGGTCATCCGACAACTGGCTCCAGTTCAACATGACCAAGTGCAAAGTCGTAAGCATCCTCAATCAGCTTATCTATGAATATAGACTTGGGGACAATAAATTACAAGGTGCTTTCAAAGGAAATGACCCCGGCGTGATCGTGCACGATGACCTTCGTTGCTCGTGACAGACTGAAAAGGCATCAAAAAGAGCCAGTCAACATCTTGGACTCTTCGGAGGACTTTCGGCACTTGTAAGCCATCAATTTTACCGCCAATGCTGAACGCCTACGTGAGACCTCACGTGAAATATGCGATCCAGGCCTGGCGTCCCTGGCGCAAGTCAGACCTCGATGAACGTGAAGCTCCACAATGTAGAGCGACCATACTCGTTAGAAACTGGTTTCATTTCACTTACCAACGCATACTACAGTCCCTGAGATTGTACAATGGTGAATATAGATGTCAGCGAGGAGACGTAATCGTGATTTACCTTATACTGACGAACCCAACTCACCCATGTTGCAATCTGTTGCTGCTGAGCCGAAATACCAACCTGAGAGGCCATCAGCTCAAACTTGCTACGCAAAATAGTCAGCTTGATTGTCGACGAAACATTTTCTCCCTCCGTGTGTCCCGTGCCTGGAATGCCTTCCGACTCATGTTATCCTTTCCTCTACATTAATGCTATTCAAAAAGCGCCTTGATGAAATGCTTTTAAACTTGCAGTACTTGATATCATCCGTTCCACTTGGAGGACGAAATAACTCAAACCTAGTCATCTGCTTAAAGGCCCTCTCCGCGACGTGGCGGTGACGATACATGCAGAAGTGTCCCTGCAAGTAGCTTGGATGTATCTAAACTGGATTAACAATCCACATCTGTCAAATAAAGCGACGAGTGTGCGTTGTCCTTTCCTTTTTATTTCTCACGCACTTACTGAACTATAGCAGCTCTCTATACTATGCTGCGTGTGCACATCCCATTCCCACTTCAAACTCTCCTTATGCAGTAGAGCATTTAATTCGGTGGATGCCTGAAATAACCCTTTACTTATTCGATGATCTTATAAATTTTAATTTTTACTCCAACCATCCTACGGGACTTGTAAAACACATGCATTTTTACTCGTGATAAATCATTGTTCATTTTTTAATTGTGACGACATGCGGCAGGGTTCCTCATTGGTGCGCTTAGATCACCCAAAGTCGTTTAGTCCACCATTAAATGATTAACGGAATTGTGAATGATATGACGGACCACCGTGTGAAGATGAATGCAAATTTTAAGGCATTGTGTTTGGATTTGACGAAAGTCGGTCCAACGCATACTCAAGTTTTGGCTCTCGTCTACGGATTTCATGAAAACGGTCCTAATTAACGGAAATGGTACAGACATTTCTTCACTGACTTCATTTTCCTTGGACTCATTCAATTTGTTGCGATCGCTTGCTGAATACTGAATACGGAGAACAGAGAGCGAGAAGATAAAAAGCTGTGTTGCTCCATCGTAAGTGGATCGGATACATGCGCGGAATCAGGTCACGGATTCCTACGCGGTGGCAGCATATTGCAGCTGCACCGCATCTTAGCCGGGTGCGATATGCCCCTATACATGTGTCCTCAAAGTGAGAGCTAAGTAATTTTAAATTCCGACATCGATTTCGCCTCGACTAGCATCTCCGGCAACGTGTTCCAATAGTTGACCACTCGACGCTCGAAGAAGAGAAGGTGAGAGATGCGTTTTAAATCCGGTATCACTAGTTTGTACCGGTATCCGCGTGTGCTGCTTGGTGCGTGAACGTGCAGCACCAGCCTCAACATAGAGAAGTGGCCCAGATGCAGTACCCGGTGCGCCATAATGAGATTAACTCGAAGCCGACGATGTGACAGGGTATAAAGCCCTAGTCTCCCACATCGGTCCTCAGGCGACATACCCCGTAAACAGGGGATGAGCCGGGTAGCTGCATGCTGGACCCGTTCCAGTCTCTGCACCTTATCTACTGGGATTGGGCAATAGGCAGGTGAGCCGTAATCAAGCACCTGTCTTATTACGGAAGAGAACAGACGGGTAGCAATCTCTTCAGACCACGTGCAGAAGCTGCATCTAAGTGCCCAATAAAGGCGTAGTCCGTTTGCATGCAGTCTGTTCGGGTTGTCGACAGATTATCGATTACATCTTTAGAGTACACCTAGATCATTTACGGAACTAGTGGGATGCAACGGGTGGCTGGCCAGGGTGTACGCACGCCCATTACTACCCCTCCTCAGGCTCATAATGTAGGACGTGTCCGTGTTGACCGGTAGGTCAACTTCTGCAGGCCACCGGGATAGGCGGCCGTGGTCTTGCTGAAAGACTTCATAGTCGCCGGGGGAATCAGTAGTCCTTAAAATCTTCAGGTCACCCTCAACTAATACGCAGGGCGACCGAAGAAGCTGAAGGACTTGGTTAATGTTGATCAGGAATAAAATGGGCCCTAGTACTGTACCTTGAGGTATGCCGCTATTAGGTGGGTACCATTCTGTTACGTGGTCATCCCCCTGAACTCGACATCTTCTCTCAATAAGGAAGTCACTGATCCACTAGTGCAGTGCGCCATGAACACCACATCCTCAGCTTGTGGAGCAGGACCTCGTGGCTGAGTTTATCGTAGCTTTACTGAAATCAATATAGATGACATCCACTGACTTCCCCTAATTCAACGCTTGCAACCATTCCTGCCGCCTCAGCAGCAGGTCGGTGATGCATGAGCGGCGCTTCATGAAGCCGTGCTATGCCGCCGTTAGATCTTTCGATTCCAGAAGCTGGAGAAGAACATTTTTCACAATCTTCTCCAGCACCTTCGCCTAAACAGAGGTGAGACAAATCGGCCGGTAATTATCCACGTTGCGTGGCTCATCGCCTTTTGGAATCGCCTTCACTACCGAGCATTTTCAGTCGCTCGGCAGTACACCATCGAACAGTTCCGTCACGGCAGGTGAAGTCCATCGGATCCGGCAGGTTTTGTGCCGTCAAGTGGCGAGTAGACTGCGGATACATCCTACACCGGAATTCAGACCCTCGAGTACAGTAGAGGCTGCACATGTCGAGCTCGGCATAAGTGCATGCCAAAGTGATGGAAGCAGGACGTTCGCCTACAGTGCTTTTGCTTGCCCAGTTAGGGAGTCTTCAAAGAATAGACATTAAACGGTTACATGAAGAGTTGCTCTTGTGACAAAATTCGGTGAGAATTTTAAGCTTCTGCCCTTGTTATCCGCAAATACTATTGACTTTACCAAGAGTGCGGTATTTCGCAACTCGTCGACGGCACCGTCAGTCGTTTGCACCTGTTGTTCTTCGCGGGTTCACCTCATAGACACCGTAAGTAGCTTCCGTTTCTTGTACCATAGCTACCTCAGTGACCCTGTAAGCAGCAGTATCGGAACGCAGGCCAGACGGACCATGATATAATCGTCTTCCACCCGTATTATGAATATCACAGACACCTCATTCAATGGAAGTGGCGTTACCCCACTGTTTTCCCTGCCCACAGAATTTAGCACTTGAGTCCCTATCTATAGTCATTGGTTCACATACTTGATTAACGATCTTGAGGAACAAGTGTTCTTCCCGACGTGTATGCATCATCAGTGATGTACTCAACCTTATCCGCAAAGCATCCACCTCAAAATTTGACGACTAGTTCACAGGTTTTCTTGACGTCTCAGTGTTGTCCACAAAGTGAGGTTGTAGAATGCATTAAAATTAATGTACCGCTGGTCGACAGGGCACTGCTTGAAGGTATCAATCTACGTTAATAATTTAACCATCAGGACACCTTTGCCGACGAAATGAGGGTGCATCTGTGGTTGCTGCGCCAAATCTCTTTTCACTTGGTCACGTGACAACCAGTGAACGACCTCGGCGCATACGAATGTGCGAGTCCAACCGGAGGTCTTCGCGGTGAGCTTTCGTTAAGCGGAGACGGTGGTGAAACTTTGCACGTCCAAAGTGGTGGTGACGTTGAGGTACCAACGATGGCTGACGGCAATTTGGTTAGCACAAGCCTGTCATGTATAGCTCGAAACGAGGGGATACCGGTTGTTTGACGATTAAGGCATATAATAATGTTTAAGTATGAACGGTCTCGGAATTTGTCGGCCCCAGCTCCTAGTTGTTGGTTGACGGTGGGGTAAGTCGGAGCTGTTAGGGAACAAGGGGTTTTACAATGCATGGATGATATTAGAAACCGTAATACAACGAAGCAATACTGTTCGCGCTCCGCCCATATCTAATCCAAGTAGAGTTAATTGGCCATTGTGGTCATACCAATGAAGGTAACTTCGATTGTACACTTAAGTCACCTTCACACTTGATTCCCTTGGCCACTAAGGTCGGCATGTTATTCAAACCATGTAGTCTTTTGTGTCTCACAGAGTCAAGAAATATACCTTTTATCTAGTTATTTGTTAAAAGGTGGAAACCGTGGTGACATGCGATTCTTGCTTGTTGTCGTGAGGATAGCTACGTTTCCAAGCAAAGATTGACCACACTTCTATAAAACTGTCATTTATCAAAATAGTGCAGCGCTGCTAATTTTCGGTACTCCAGTTAATGTAGCACGTGTACTAAGACTAATCAGCCAAGTAATAAATTTTCTGTGGATGGCGAATCTTAGTTGATAAGGTGGAGTCTTTCGTTGTGCTATATGGTTTTTGTACGAAACCTACAGTGATGCTCCCAGGAATAGCAAGCTTAGGTTTGGATTGAGGGGATAATTTGACAAAGAAAATTCCGCTCAATATCGCATTCTGTCTACCACATTTTTATACGCACTACTTCCATGGTGAAGTTCCTTCTAGGTAACATCAATGCTTCCACATTTCTTCCGATTTGAGAATGAATTAGGAGGTAGATACATCTTTGTGTTAGGTATTTTAGCCAATCCTAAGTCTTCTATGAGTGTGCCCCTACGATAAGTGAAAGTGAATTGGACATTGAGTTGAATATGAACTCAGTGTTAACGGGGCATCAGCATGAAACACAAGAAGAACAAATGGTCACGTGGACTTTATGGCAGACGTACTCTTGAGCTATTCGAAATTGGCGCAGTGACCCGTGGGAAAGGGAAGCGGCAGCAATGCTATTGAACTGTCAACCATAAAGTCAGAAAAGGGGAATGCAATTTCATAAATGCAAACAGATACCCTCATAAAAATATTGCTGGGAAGTGGATAAATGTTGTGGATGAAATAAGAAGTTGTTCCGTTCCAGAAAGGGATGAAAAGTAATACGAACTTCTGTTTTATTGAGAAGATCGCAAAGTTGATTATGACTCAGCCATTATTGACCCCTTAACACTACATGATTCCAAAATCATAAGGTTTTGTGCTGCATACGATGAAGTAGTAATGCAAATCTGGCCGACAAAATGCTGTCTACGTCTGAAAGAGTTATCAATGAAGGAAATATGTGAAGCCAATCAGTCTTCTGAGTACTGCTTTCCAAAATTCGGGACAAACAAAACCGACGAGTACGTAGATGGTAATCCGGCTTGCTTTTGTCTTCAGCACTCCACAAGTCGGATAACATAAAGCGGAGGAATGAACCGCTTCCTTGGGTCGATAAATTGTGGTGAACCAATCAGATTTTTCGAAGCGGTTTTGAGTAGCAAATTGAACCTGAGGAGTGCAAAGTAAAACAACTTTGGATGAACTCAGGGTAGGAAGGGAGTATCGAACCTGTTCGTTGTGGTATACTATGCATCCCATCGGTTAGCACATTTGTAGGTAGCAAGTGGGCATCCGATTCGGACTGCCAGCATTAAGCGGAAGGATTGCGACCCATCAGTCGAATGATATGAGGCATTCCGCCTCGTGGATCGAAGCACACATGCAAAAATGCATATAGTTAGATATGGTTAGATATCAAGGCATCCTGAGGGCTCTGGTCCAATCGTTGGCTCAGGGAACAACTTCAACCAGACAATACCTAAGCAAACTAAACTGTCAGCTAATTCACCATAGTCACTCCAAATCAGCAGGCTTAAGCTAGTCTGGAAAAGCACCAGGCGCCATCGTTTCGACCTTCTGGATCTCGTCAGTGGTGCGCCTCCTAGCGAACCCCAACTGGGTTCCGCCCCATGACTTCAAGATGCCAGCAGCTAGTACCACTTCGCCATGGGTGACAGCCGCGGACCTGCGTAATTGCCAGTATCAAAATCCAACCTACTACTCATCAGTATTATATGTCCGTATAGCTTCTAAGTCCTATGTGGTACATAGGCACTATGTGGAAAGTCTTATCTCGTGAGGCTAGCCATTGTCCTCTGCACAGTTCTTAACTGGCATGGCACTGGAAGATGAGCCGAGCTGTATCATAGTCAACTGCCAATCACGCAAGTCCGCGGCTGTCACCCATGGCGAAATGGCACTAGCTGCTGGCATCCTGATTCATGGGGGCGGAACCCAGTTGGGGTCCGATGGGAGGCGCACCACTGACAAGACCCAGAAGGTCGAAACGATGGCGTTTGGTGCATTTCCAGACTAGCATAAGCCTGCTGATTTGGGGTGGCTATGGTAAATTAGCCGAGTTGTATCAAAATCCTCACTACTACTTATCAAACTAAACTGTGTTCCACGACGAGAACAAAATGGCTTATTGATTTATGTGTTCGGAGTTCTAATTGGTGATAAGTCTCGAAAGATTTGTTAGTCAGAGTGAACTCCAGAACAAGTTCACAATGAAAGAGAACAACATAATTAACTCTTCTTCGTAGAAAGCCCGTCGTTATGCGTAATCGCATATAGTGGAGCTCTATCTGCAAGCGCATCCTTTTGCCGCAGTAAGTAAAATCAGGCTCTAAAGGGAACATTGTCTGTAAAGAAACGCCTCAGCTTGTCCAAAATCAGTAAGAATGCGAGCTATTTTGCAGGACTGAAGGAGGGTGGATCGTTAAAAGTGCAGTGCTATGCAACTGGGGCCTATCCATTTCCTTCTTATGGTGCTACTGCGTTTGGCAGAGGAAATTGAGTATTCCGTTGGCATAGATAGCACCTATTCATTACGGCTACAGTTACCCTATGCAGTTCAAAGCTATTACTTATTACAAAAAATAAGGAGGGAAACAGTTTTCAACTGCTCATCCGGTAGACGGACTGGACGCTGATGACTACTTCGGAAGAAAGAAATGCAGGCGTAGAGAGTGCCTAAATATGTGTGATAGTGGCGAAATTTCTGTGAACTAGATCAGTCTGTTAATACAAAGTGCAATGACTATGTAATCTTGAATAAATACCAGAAGTAACGTATCCACTTTGTCAGCGGTAAACTTACCGGGCAAATCGCATGTTGGATATCAGGATTGCACACTGGACAAACACAACTCCTGTGCCCTCTGCTAAACTCGAGCCTACCAGGTGTTTGTCAAATCTAGATGATTTGTACCTATTCGACTCCGCATGGTTTCATTGTAACCGCTATAATTGCCGGGCAATTTGCATGAGAAAGAGATAGGGATTTTACTCAGGATAACCATATCAGACACATGAGTCATCTACTAAACCCCAGCCTACTGACGATTTATCTTAGGGTGGTTTTCTTATTCGGTGCCTCCATAGTCTCATTTCAATCCTGGCTGTTGTATTGCTTCCCCTCACAGTGTGCAACTTGTCCAGGGGTCACCCCACATGCCAACTTGATCCAATCCCCAGTCATCACAGGGGCACATCCTCTGTTGTGAACCCTTCCATCCCTTATTTGCTCCAAGACCCACCACTCCCATTACCCTCTATGCGCTGTAGAGTAAACCACCAGATTAATGTTATCGGACCCAGTAAAAGAGGCGTTGGATACCGCCCACGGACTCTGTATTGTGTGATCTTGCTGCACGGTGATTTGCACTTCGTTTGTGCCCTTTAAATACCCGGTTGTTGCATAACTAAACGAATACTATTGACGTATATCCATATTGCACTTTGATATCTATTTACATAGGACTGTAGTTAACTTGTTGGTTTGATCTGAACCGGGAGTATTACGAATTGCTGGAGCCTAAAACAGATATGTTGACTACATACAACGCCTTTAACAGACGGCTGATTGCAATTGTTATGCTGGTAGTACCCGTGCAAGCTAAGGCTAACCGTTCGGCTTGTCCACCCATTACGGATGATCGAATCCAGTTCCTCCTAGACTCATGTTAAACGGTTATATAAACGATTAATACACTAAAAAAGTTTAACGAATACCTATTAATGGCACCAAAATGCCCCAAAAGCAGTGCAAATAAATGAGCTTTGTCATCCTTTTCTTGAACGAATTCCCTGTAAAGTTCTGGCATACTCACGCGCGCGCAAAACCTAAGATTTCCATTCAGACGACTCGGTAAGTTGTGTAACGTTTTCTCGCATGTACTGGCAATGCATCCTTGTTAAGCTTTTATCGGAACTGGACGGCACACACACAGGTAGCCTAGAAAGTTAGCAACCGGGTTTGGTGATGCCAAACAGCCCCGATGACTGGAGCCAATTGTGACTCGCAGTCTGGAAAAGAACAAGTTCGAACCTACGGTACTTATTCATTTTGTAGCAGACAATTAAAGAGAAAAAAGCGACCATTTAAGCATACACAGATGCCAGTTTTCAGCCTTAAGTTTCTCACCTCGTATGCCGCCTGAGTGTCGCTTACAGGGAGGTCGCAGGGAAGCGGTTTGTCTCCTGACCATCTGATGCCTGGTTGGTCATCACCACTGAGTTCATCATCATGCTCCTTGGAGTAGCTCTCGTCGTGCAAGCGTCTGCACACTCGCATTTCAGACCACTCGCCGTAGCCAACTAGTTGGTTACCATAGGGGTCGGATTCATTGACTCGAGTAGGCCGATAACGTACCAGTAGGTCTGAGAGCTGGGCCCTTGCACCGTCACTATATGGACAAGGATCCCCAAGAAAAATGGAGAAACGCAGGAACTCCGGCGATGGCTTGAGGGAGATAACATTCTATCGCAGAAAACAAAACAAGGAAGAATAATGAGCTAGAGAATACGAGAACGACAGTGCTAGCTGTGATTAATATCATCCTTATCATCATCATTACACATTAGCTGATGGCGTGAAACACACTGCAGCCAACTGTGCCGCAATACAAAAGATAATCCATATAAAGAGTGAGATATTAAACATTACGAAATGAATAAAAAGGAGAGTACAGTAGTGCTGTCATATTATCCATTCTGTGTGAGGTCGTTGTTGGGTGGAAAATAGGCGGGCAGGGAAGGGACAAGGAAACTCACAACACAAACACCACTGAGGTTAGCTCTTCGACATGTCAACAAGCGTGTTCAACCAAATGTGTTCATCATCCTTCGGACCCCAGCCCGGCAGTCGGCAGACACCAACCGACGCAAACTTCGAACTAAGGACCTTTATTCCTCTCGACCACGTCATCGCTTGACCTTCTCTTCTCTTCTTCCATCCACAGCCCGATCAAGCAAACAACGCACATCGCGGAACTTTGTGTGTTGGAATGCGCAACGTGCGGCCGAGCCATCGGAGCCTGGGGCGTGAAATAACCGTGCGGAGTGGTTCATTTCCCTTTCTTGTGCCACGAACAAGGCGTCGAACATGTTCGTTGATTATGTGGTGTATCTACCAGATGTGAGCCAAATTACGAAGACACCGGGGATCGAATGTAACTAGCCTCTTTCTCTTTACTGATCTAATGGGCCAGGTTTCACAGCCGTAAAGTAGAGTTAAATGGACGCCTGCATTGTACACTCTACCCTTTAGAGAGGGAGTGTGATGTGGTGTCGGCACCATAGGTGGCGAAAGTTAGCAAAGTGCCTCGACTTTTGCTATACGGTTCGGCATCACGTCTGCGATCCCACGGGCGTTGATACAAATTCCTACGTAGTTGAATTTTTAAATGACTTCCAGCTGATCCCCACTAAGGGCCAGCGCTCGAAGCGGTCTCTGCCGGAGACATTATGTACTCCTTGGCAAAACCTATCTCATGCATATCCACCGACCCATAGGAGAGATGAATGCTAAAGACCATGAGTGAACTCGTAAACAATAAAGTCGTCCTTCACGCAGCACCTTGAATGCATTGGATTCACCGGGGTGGACTTGGCAGTGGTGCAGTACATGCCACTCACACCCCTCTGTCTGACCGCCAACCGCATGTGACTGTTCACAGTGTGACTGAAAGTGGACCCCACAAAGTGTCGCTCGCAGCGTAACTTGCTGCCATTGGTTCAAAACCAACTTTGTCCTACTTATTTTAATTAAGTAGGCTATTTACAAGATATTGTGGTCGACCGAAAAAGTTTTTTCATTGAAATAAAGGTCTGGCAACGCTCACCATGCGACACCAGCCAAGTTCAATTAGTTGGCCATCTTGCGCAACATACTACTTAGCGTTAACTAAAAGCAATGCTTGCATACCACATGGAGGATGAAACTTGACACTGCACAAGTTCGTTTGGTTTTAGTAGACCGCAAATCTGGTCGATACTGAAACTGTATCCTTCGAACTCGGTGTTCAACATGTGCAAGGAGATGCAACATCCATTCACCATTACGCAGATAATGCATCACATGATGAATCTGTAGGAAACTTGTACAATGTTACCTTGATTGGTGGCGGTGTCTCTAACCTTGTGGTCCACAAAGCAAACTGGACCATGACGCTCAAACCGAATTCGTTTCCAGACGACCACTCAAACACATATTCCGTATCCGACGCCAGTCCTTTCACGGGTATGATGGCAGTGTGTGGGCGGGCCTCATGAGCGGCATTTACGGTGACATGCTGATTTTCCAAAGATGCATTGGACGGCGACGCGGAAGGTTGGCCCTCTGAATCAAGGTAAACCAGTCGGGTTTCCAGGTCAGTGGAGTGATGAAACGACTGTGAAAGAGAACAAGAAAACGAAACTAAAGATGTGAGGGAAGCAAGCAGGTACAATAATTGGTGTGCGAAGGCGGTAGACAGTGGAAAATGAGAAACCGCTTACCTTTGCGGGGGCGAAAATCACTTTCTGGGTCACAATACGCTCTGTCGGGGAACTCTGAGGTCCTGCTCTCGGGTTGGATACACCGAATACGACAGCACTGGGTCCGGCACAAAGAACTGTGATCTGGGAGAATGAAAAAATCCATTGTGCACATGAAGCCTGGATGGATAAAGAAAAGTCTGCAAAGTACCGTAGTCGAGGCCTTTACGCATGGAGGACCAAATTTGCCAAAGTTCCGTTTAGATGGTCTACGTCCATGGAGAACAGCTAGTTTGGTGTGTCGTCGGATAAAAGCCACTATAAAAGTCCTTACTCTCTGTTCGGATATATTCTTATAAACTGAGGTGGGCGTTCATGCCTAAGAACATCCTTGTGCAGGTTCCACAAGATGACACAGTGGTATAATTAAGAGGGGGACTGCAAAATAAACGTCGTAAGCTGGCGACACCGATCATTGTGCATAACATCCGTATCTGTTTAATGCTACCGGTAAATCCTGAAATTCCCACCGTACCGTAAAGGCACACAAGCGGTGCTCGTTACTCTCCATACGAACAGTTATATTTAGGGAAAGTTGCGGTGATTTATGGAAAATGCTGCACGACTGTCATACTTCGCTTTTCGTATGGTCAGTTAGAGTTGAAGCAGGAAGTTCGTAACGGTATGGGATAGTGCAAGCGATAAAACCCTATCTATGCCAACACAAGTTAGTTCGGATATATTTTTGATATCCCGGTATTCAATTGCAGTTTAAGGGGGGTAGCAAGATGTAGTGGTTTAAATTAAGCAAGCTGCACACCTGAAGCTTTGTGTTCTGAACAATGACCGTCTGAGTCCAAAGAACATGAAATGAGCCATCATCATACGCCATTAAAGCGAAGCAATACGATGATAACGATATGAGCAAAGCCCACTGAAAGCAAATTCCGGAATAAGAAAATCACGCTAAAGAAGTGTAGAAGAAAAAGAAGTAGAGACTTTACGGACATAATTGACAGTTCTACTGAACTGTTGAGTGTGCTTTATTGACAGTTTTTCTGGTACCCGATAAATGTGATTCCGTATACCATGCCAGTAACGGTGATCTAAACGACGTCGTTGAGGCCCATTAAAATACTCCACATTATTAGTATCTAAACGCATCCGGAATAAGGAACATTCACAGTGAGCAATACACGATATAGGTTTAGATGTTATCCGCTCCAATATTGCATTCTACAACCAACTGTGAGCTTGTTTTCGTTTGGCAACTAACTAACCTGAGAATTGACCGTTCGTTGTAGGCGCCACCCTCAGTGAGGCTTCCCTACGCTGTAACAGGCTATGCAACAGGATACTGATGATGTCAACTCGCTTAGTGATGTAACGTTAGCAACAAAATTGCCAAGATCGGAGAACAGAACAGTCGTCAAAGTCGTTCCTATCAATGCACCACTGAAGCTGACGCTATCTCTACCCGATTATGCACAATGAGGCAGCACTTTGTAGACACAATTGATAAGGGACGTGTGGTCTATTCCAGCATCTTCAGCAAGCAATAGGTATGCCAATGATTATTAGGTTTGCAACGTTGCGCTGCATCCGAAAGACGGATTGTGAGTGTCAGCACGAGTATGTTCACGTGCACAGTAGCCTCTTCGACTATTCATCCAATGGGTAGCTACAAATCTACTCTTGCACGACAAGCGGTCCGCTGCACCGAGTGGTCTGCCAATAATGGTGGCAACCGGTTATTCACCGAGTGGATCCTGTAACAGTACCCTGTAAGGAAGGGTGCGCTATTGAAACATGCGACAAGTTGTCCAGTAGGTTCTTCACCCCAACAGTGCCCTCCAAATTGAGCAGAAGCTCTTATTGATGGCAACTCCCTATTTATACAGAATTAAGTGAGTCAGGGTGATATTGGAAAAGGAATCATAAGTACGCCGGCACATTGTGCTTACGCTTCGCTACCTCGCAACCACTACCGGTCACGCGTGAGCTCGGTATACTGCAAAGTCACCCCCACCAACGCGGATTCCAACCGGCGACATGCGGATTACATGGCAAGTCTGTATTCCTTTCGCTTACCGTCAGCCGGGAATGATATAGGGTTAATAAGTTCACATCCAGTTAAAGATGTGGAGGTCGCCGTCTCGGGAATTCAGGATGTTTAGATAATGCACAGTCACAGACAAGTATATGCCAGAGAAGGAAAGTCAGTCTTTTAGTCAGGTAATGGGGATACTCAACGCTGTTCTTCCGGAGTATGTGATCATGTTCTAACTGCATAGCCCCCTGGATCATCCGAAGTAGGAAAATCGGGATGAGTTTTGAGCCTAATGCACAAGTCGTAGAACCGAGTGCTCAATGCGTGGTTTGTTTCCTATATGCTGGTGGTGAAATGGGACGACAGACGAGTGACCAAATCTGTTTGAGTCTAACAGCCACTCACGCTGTGGCGTCGCTCTTACGTTTAGCTTGGTCGTATAGATGCTACTTCTGTTCACAAAATAATGTGGCTGGCTGTTCACAGGTGGTTCGTTCTGTTTCCGCGTTCGTAAAAGTCAACGGTGTGAAAGGAGTCGATCTTATACAACAATGGATTCGCTTCCGTTTCGACAAGTGGACTCCTGGATTGAAGTCCTCGGGTGAGCACTCAGTCATTCCTTGTTGAAGTGCCCATCGTGTATGAGATGAGTACGCCATCCCGTCTGTCACACTCAAGGTACATTCGGATATTTCATCTTGATACCATGATTCATGTGCTATCGGTCTGGGTGATAAGCACCATGGGTCACAGTTTCGTACACAAAACTCCAACTAATCTTGAGGTGTCTCTTACTGTTGAGTAAGGTAAGAAGGGGTTAAACATGTCTTGTGTGCGCTCAGTGGCGTGTCGCACAGAAGAAAATGGTCAAATGAACTTTTCTTATTGCAGAGACACGACAACGTGCTCTTGTCTGCATGGCATCCGCAGCCCACCTGACTTCAATTACAAAACTTTGGCAACTCGACACATGGATGAACGAAAATTTCCCACTTACTAGGATCGTGTACCAACCTGCTTGCTTATCCTCATAACGCTTCTCGGAGGCCAATGAGTGATATGGAGAGGCGATCTTCGAATTGAGATTTTCCTTTATTTTACCACTTGTCCTCAACCGGAAAGGGGGGAATACATCAAGGTGACGAGATGAAGCCGACGTTGCTCGAAATGATTTGGAATTTGGGTAGTTCGGGAGGCTTTCTCAGTTGTTGTGGTGTTCGTGGAACTGGGAAACTTGATTGCAAACGTTTCACCCCCATTCAAGTTGGCATCTTCAGTACAGGTTTGGTAGCAGTTAGATAGCATGAGCTGTTAGAAGGCAAACTCAATACTGAATCCATCACTGGGTTTACCTTCTACCAGCTCCTTCTCTCTGACTGCTATCACATTTGCATTGAAGATGTCACCTCATATGGTGGTGAAACGTTTGCAATCAAGTTTCCCAACTCGACGAACACCATAACAACCGACGTTGCTGGTCCACCAGTTGTCATGTAAGTCTGTCACCGGCCGTCAGACTGCTCAGGGCACAGTAAGAAATCCCCATTGCAGTCTGCGGTGTTGCAGATAAACGGATGACGCCTTACTGCCGTACAAGCAAGGACTGTCGATGGTATTGGATGAACACACAACGAAATCTAAGAAGGATGATGAGAGCTCCTGACTGTCGTGGAGGACAGTCATAAAAGCTGGTAATTTATTAGATAAAAAGTGGAGTGCAGAGAATTGGAACATGTGAATGATTTTTCAGAGATGACATTATTGGGGCTCTCTGGAGAAAAGCATTTTCTCAGTGCTGTCCATGAATCAGCCTCATAGACCAATAAGCAAATATCTGATTACTACCTGAGACTCACATTCGGTGCAGGTGGCTTTGTGGCTTCTTTTAGCGACATCTCTCGTTGAAACACTTGGCCATCTAGATGAGTGTATTCACAGCGCACCATGGCCTCACTACCCAACCGTTGGCTCAGCTGGAGTTGGAAAGTTGCATTGATGCTACATGAGAGGGGTGTGTTGGAGGACAGTGGTGGGATAAAAAGGGCGATTGTTAGTGGGGAAATACAAATGCAAGCATATTCATGTAACCACGCATGAGTGTGGACTTTCGTTTTGCTCTGGTGGTCCACCGATATTTGTTTTCACATAGTATTTCTTTAGCCCCATTGGCTTTTTAGAGTCGTTGTTTTTGATTTCCGATCGCAGCCCTACTTTGACCCCAACACTCTCAATTTCCGTTCTTTGTGTGCACTGATTGGTTCCTTATTTGTTCAGCCTTGGTTGGTTTCACCTGTCCGTATCCCTTCCCTACTCTGGTTGGCTTTCATATTTGTACAATGTCATTTCCCTAGATAAAAGTACCCCTGAATCATTTTTCTTGATTGGTCGGGTTCTCACTATCCTGAGTGGGTGGAAGCAGTTGCCATGATCATATATCAAGATAGGCAGCTTGACTACTGAATCGCCGTACTCCGTAGCTTAGAGAGCAGTAGGGAACCAATCACTCATTAAGCAAGGGTGGATAACTCTTTCAAATCTAGGCTAAGGTTACTCACAAAGAATGCTCAAGTGTCGGTTGTACAGTCGGTAGAGCGAAAATAACTCAAATACCGGGTTATTGGTAAGTTATAAAGATGATATTCAATGGTGTCTGTCATACGCAGATCTGCTCGGTGGCATACATTCGCAGACAAGAAATATTAACTGCTTGGTTGATGGTCTAGATGCATATTCAAATAGGGGCATCACGCTACAGCTGGCTTCTTTGCAAAGCGGACAGTGGAACGACAATCAAGTATCTGTTCTTAATTTTAACCAGTGCAAACAGAGCGCCAAATATGACTGCACCCCACCTGATTGCTATGCGCATCTCGTTGAAACTACCATAACCTCGATTCGAAGCCATTAATTGCAAAACGCACGTATACATGAAACCGTAAACTCATACCTAAGGTTGATAATGACACCACACCGCCGATAACGTGGTAGGTTATTCAGTCGGGTACAGGAAAGCTAACACTATGACTCACCCAAGAAAAGCGTTCGTTTCGTAACTGAGGAGGTTCACTTCAGCTTTCTCCATTGGCTCGCCATCCGGTGTAAATACCGCCATGCGGACTGGCCCGGTGTCGGTTGGATTAGGAGTGGTTTCGTCATGGCTAGTGACGGTAGTTTCGGCAACTGGATCCTCTCCACTGGACTTATCGAACTCAACCGACCGAGCGCCGCTCACCATCTGTTTGGCCTTGGACAATGGGTACCCAGTCACGTGACACGATGCAATCCACGGCTTGTGTCCGACAAAGTAGCTGGACTCTGACGGGACTATCTCCAGCTGAGGTCTTGACCGGACAAGGACATGGCCGATCGCTTGTGCTCGACCTGCCTTGTTCCAAACGCTACATCGGTAAGGTCCATGATCGGAAGGACGAAGGTCTGCATAGCAAGAGATGGTACATGTTGGTGTTTTCAAGAACAAACCAAAGAGAACAATCTACAAAACTGTCCATGAACCATGGTGTCAGAATCGTCCCTTGCTTCTGCTGTCTGTTGAAGAATCCCTGGTGTAACTAAATAGACAGAAATAAAAGACACTGTGTGGTATAGGGACAGTGAGACTAATAGGAAAATCATCTCTCGCCTCACATCACGTTGTTACACTGAGGTGAACTTGGATAAACCATGTTGCACCTTCTACGGGGAGAGAGCTCCCCATTTCTGAGCAAGTGTTGCCCGTGACTACATTGTCTTGTAGGGCAGATAATATAGGAAAGTTGGATCCCTCCTGAATTGAAGCGCACTCCAGTATCAATGAGATGGCTTCAAGAGAGTGATGCGGGACTGAATGGCAGGCGCCAACCCCTTGTAGGTAATCTGAACTCAAAATGCAACCTGCTCTCCTGGCGCATTAGTAGGCCAGACAGATTTGTGGCCCGATTAGCTGTTAAGATGGTTATTTCGGCCGATAGTACGTGTTGAGAAAGAGTAGGGTGGCACCGAAACGACAGCGAATTACGCTAGACATGAACTGCACAGTTGTGGTTGTAGTCTTTCAGTCGGTGTAGACATCCTTCGATTGCCCATGCAAACGCTGACAAGCAATGGCGGAAGGTAATACTACCAAGCATGTAACCTACACAGTGGAGGTTGGCTCCTTGTTGCAAGCCTCTGTGTGAACGCCGTGATGAGTCCACCAAAACAATTTTAATTTTACCACTGGTTTCTATTCACCGTGTTGTAGATTTCACTCTGGCCATCCTACGGGACTTGCTAAGTATCAGCATTTTTACCCGTAATATCTCACCCATTGTTCCATCGTTCCAGTGACACGAAAATTATTCTTTCTGCGTGTTTTCTCACAAGAGCGGCTAACTACAAGAGGAATATGTAACAATTCGCCTGCGAATACACAGTTCACGTCATACCGTTGGTTTTGTGCATCTGAATTCCTTAACAAAGTTTGGAGACGAACCGGACTGAGTTTTAGCAAACCGCTACTGTACAGCTCGTTCCCATTGCTCGAGACAAATGGATTCTGTTAGTCTGACCGCAATTAGCTTGGCTGCACATAAAACAATAGTGCCGAGTCAGAGAGGATGCTATGCGTGTGGGCGACGCGAGGCCAAAATTCAACTTGCAAAATTCTATCGAAGGAAGTTTGGTGTTTAGAAGGAACTGTTTATGTCAGCTCCCTCAATCTATTCTGGCCCTGCTTTTGGAGACTGCAGTCATTGCACTAAGGTGTCAATAGAAGTCCAGTGTATGTTAATTTCCACCTCATAACGGTTCTAGGAGTCCCAATTCGAGTAAAGGGCACCGAACAATCAGATACGAATGACTGCATAGTGTGCTTTTACCCATGTAGAATAACTCAAATGTTTGCCTTCCTTTCGTAAAGCTTTCTGTGACGCTCACTTAACGTAGGCTGTGGTGATAGCTGTGAATTAAGGGGAAGTTTTCTGGTGAATCTGAGCGCCTTTGTCTGTTTGGAATGCAGTATGAAGATAGCCACTCCCAGGGTACTATAGATTGGGCGGAAGGAAAGACATTATGTAAATTAACAAAGAAGGACTTTGGCGCCTTTGCAATCATCACCGTATGCGACAGGGCAGAACCTCGGGGCTTTTTCAGTTGAGTATTACGTTCGCCAGGAATTGGACCCCATCTGACATATTATTGAGGCCGCGCTGAAGCTGGCCACACTATACAATCGGCCGGACTGCTTCCGGCATTTCGGTAGCTGTGTGACGCTAATTCGACTTACGTCCTTTCGGCTGCATCGTTGTCCATCCCCAGAAAACGACTCGACGATGCATTACATCAGTTGCATTACGTTCTACAACCCTTGTTCACCGGTTGCCGACAAAACACAAATAAACACTGTGATCAACCGCCCTCGGTGAACTCGAGAGAGACAGATATATATTTGGGCTACTGTGAATGACAGTGAGATCAGAAATGTGCAGTTTAGCTTGTAGTGTACCTTTTACATTTTACTACACAAGCTTCCGGTCAGCTGATAATTTCACCAGCCGTAGCGACTATACTTTCAAACACCTCATACACTTCAATATCGACCAACATTCTTTTTGAATCGCCAACTGACTCTAGACCACCTCGCTCCAAAATACAATCATGGGAATACACGTTTTCAATCCCTTTTGGCATCCAAGAATGACGGGTTACTAATCCAGGAACTCCGTAACCAAAAAGCGTTAACACCAATAAGTGGTTGACCCGACGGGAGTCCGGATATTTGGACTCAGCAAACATCATCCGGTGAGTCGTATCCAATTTCGTCATACTTCCACTATTTCATGTGTGCTAATATGACTGACCAGCAACCAGGGGAAATTAACACCGTATCTACTAGTTTTTTACCAACATTTTGGATACAGTATCCCCAGGTATGGTTTATGCAGGCCGAGTCATTTTTTAAAATCAATCGCATACATAAAGATGCATTAAAGGTTCATCACGTTATTTCCCGACCCCCACCAGAAATATTGCTCCTGGCGCAGGATATCCTAAAAACGAGCATTACATACCAACAGTTAAGGGACTTGTTAATTCGTGAGCTTAGCCTTAGTGAGTGTAAAAGAGTGCAGCGTCTACTTAATGAAGAGCAGTTAGGCGATCGCACTAATACGCAAGTATTACGAGCCATGCAAGCATTGGTAGGTGAAAATCCCCCACAGAATTCCATTTTTAATCAGCTATTTATTCAACGGCTCCCTATACATGTACAACTGATACTGGCTAACGCCCACCAGGATACCGAACTAAAAGATTTAGCCCTTATGGCTGAGAAGATAATGGAGATACAAACGCCAACGATCTAAAACTTATCACCTCGTACATCTGACGACGAACTCGTTACGGCCGTACGATCCTTGCAACAACAACTGGCTACCATTACTATCACTAGACGGAGGAGCAACTCTCGATCCAATCAACGGCGTATTCGGAGTGTTAGTCGTCTCCGTGGCATAAACTGGTACCACCGTAGGTTCCGCAACAAGGCGAAAAAGTGCGTGAAACCGTGTCGGTTTTCCGATTCGGGAAACGAGCACGCCAGTACGTAATGGCGACAACGCAAGCTGGCATATGTGAGCCAGGTCGCCTGTTCCACTTGCGGGACGTAACATCCGGCATGCGATTCCTCGTAGACACGGGTGCCCAAGTCAGTGTAGTAATCCCACGTCCAGAAGACCTGGAACACTGCTCGATATACAGCCTCCAAGCAGTAAATGGTACACAAATCCGATCCTACAAAGAACGTTCTATCACTCTAAATCTCGGTCTCCGTAGATCCTTTCCTTGGATTTTCATCATAGTTAAAGTGCCTACTGCAATTCTAGGCCTCGACTTCTTTCAGCACTATGGCATTATCGTAGATCCTAAGCGTTGTCAGATCATAGATGGCCTAACTCAACTAGCACAGGCTGGTTTTAAAAGTTCCGTAACGTCTATGAGTCCGCAGCTTGTCCCGCCTCAAGCTTCTTCGATGTATTTGGATCTGTTGCGAGAATTTACCAGCATGACGAAGCCCGGATATCATCCTGGTGATATCAAACATGAGATCGTTCACAGGATAACGACAGCAGGCAGTCCAGTATTTCATCATCCTCGGCGACTAGCGTCAGCTAAACATTCCGTAGCGAAGGCCGAGTTCGATCATATGTTACAATTGGGCAGAATACGTCCATCCAGCAGTATGTGGGCATCGGCCCTACATGTGGTCTCGAAGAATAAACCCGGAGACTGAAATCCATGTGGGGATTATAGGGGACTGAACGCCATCACCGTCCCAGACTGATACCCCATTCCGCATCTCCAGGATTTCTCATCCTCGCTGTACGGAAAGAAAGTGTTAAGCAAGATAGATTTAGTACGAGCATACCACCAAATTCCCGTTCATCCTCAAGACTTACCTAAGACTGCCGTCACTACTCCCTTTGGCTTATTTGAGTTCTTGCGAATGCCATTTGGTCTTCGTAATGCAGCTCAGAAGTTTCAGCGTTTTTTGGATCAGGGCATTCGCGAGCTGGACTTCGTTTTCGTCTACATCGACGATGTCTTAGTTGCAAGTCGAAATCATGACGAACATTTGCGTCATCTGCGACAGCTTTTTTGAACGATTCGCGCATTATGGAGTAGTTATCAACGCCGCCAATAGTCAGTTAGGAGTTGATATGGTAGAGTTTCTTGGTCACCATGTTTCCTCCGCTGAAATTGCACCCCTACCGGACAGAGTGACAGCTATCACTGAGTATCCCATACCTGATACCATCAAAAGTTACGTCGGTTCGTTGGCATGGTTAACTTCTACTGAAGATTCATTCCGCACTGTTCAGAGTTAGCCCAGCCACTTACCGAACTACTCAAATTAGATGCTAAAACATTCAGCTTTACGGAATCAGCTAAACACGCATTCAGCGAGCTAAAACACCAGCTAGCAACTGCCACTCTTCTTGTGCATCTGGATTCTAAGGCCCCGTTACAGTTAACGGTGGTTGCCTTAGATGCAGCTGTAGGTGGTGTGCTTCAACAAAGACAGAGAGGTGAATTGTATCCAATTGCCTTTTTCTCTAAGAAATTGCAGCCTGCCGAATGACGTTATAGCACGTTCAGCACGGAACTCCTAGCTATTTACCGCAATATGCGTCATTTTCGACATTATTTAGAAAGAAGTACGTTCACGATATTCACCGATCATAAGCCGTTAACGTATGTACTGCGTTCTGCTTCTGATCGTCTTTCCCCACGAGAAACTAGACAATTAGATTACATTTCCCAATTTACCTCTGACATACGGCATTTGTCCAACGCGAATAACGCCGTAGCAGATACCTTATCAAGGGCGGAAATCAACGCTCTATTCGAACATTCCTCCATTGACTTCCAAGAACTAGCCACAGCGCAGCATCAGGATA